CAGCTGGAAGGGCATAGGAAGAACCCTGGCAGATGACATCCAATGCCTACTGAGCCCACAATTGCATACCAGGTGCCCCAATGAAAATCTCAAAAGCAAGGATTGAATGCAGTAGCACTCTCTCCCACTCATGCTCTCCAGCAACGGATTCCCATCCTGCTACCTGCCCTCTGGAACTGAGAGCAAAGCTTGGAAATGTAACCTTTTTTTGGACTACAACCCCCAGAATTCCACTGACAATGGGATAATCTTACTAATGATAACCTTCCTAATCCCATATTCCCCATCCCACCCCGTTCCTGTCTAACTGAGTTGCCTGGATAGCTCAGTAGTTTAGATCCAGAGGTTGGGAGTTTGATTCCCGACTATGCCTCCAGGGAGAAGATCCAGCCTATGTAGCCTTGGGCAAGCTGCACAATCCCCGGGCACCCACAGAAAAAGGGAATGACAAACCGTTTCTGAGTATCCTCTCCCTGGAAAGCTTGGAAAAAGGTCACCCTAAGTCAGAACCGACTTGACAGCACATGATGATTATAAAGGGGGGGGGGAGTTCCCTTCCTCTTGAGTTTCTGAGTATCCTCTCCCTGGAAAACCTGGAAAAGGGTCACCCTAAGGCAGAACCGACTTGACAGCGCATGATGATTATAATTCCTGTCTAAAAAGGGGGGGGGGAGTTCCCTTCCTCTTGAGGAAACAAAAGCGGGTAAGACTCTACTTGTATGCCTGCATTGAGTGCAGCTTTTCTTAAGAGGAATGAATCCCATTGCATAAAGTGTGTGTGGACAACCCAGGAAAGATGCACACATTCTGGGGGGAAAGGCCCTTGTCTTTTCTTTGCTCATGTGAACGCTACCCAGTTGTAGTTGTCCATGATATCTGATGGGGAAGATTTGGGGAAAACAAATAAACAAAACCCATCATAACCAACCCAAGTTCCTGGCTGGAGGTAGGAGAAAGCCAGCAGAGTGATCATTGTCATAGGCATCCATTCCTCCAAGGCTATGGTACACAGTCATCCATCAAACCAGCTGTCTCTGACACAAAGCTCCACACCACCTCCTCCTCCTCCCTCCCTGCTGAGCCATTCTGTTTTCGGCTTTGTTATTCTGAATCTAAAGGAAAAACAGGAACTGCACTCCCCAGCAAAAAATGAAGTGTCTCTGTGAAGGGGGGGGGAAATATATCAAAGCACAGCCGCCGCTCGGCAAAATAAATGGAAGAAATTAATAGGGAAATGATTGATTCCTAGCATTCGGGGCTTGGGAGAATTCGTCACAGGGGGCGGGCATATGATTCACGACTCTCTTAGCCATAAGAAAGACTGCATCTTCCTACAGGATCCTCTCCCCCTCCCCCCAGTCATTGAGATCATCAGGGGAGGCCTTTGTCTCAGCTTCACCACGCTCACAGGTGCATTTCGTGAGGCAGGGCCTTCTCCGTGGCTGCTCCTAGACTCTGGAACTCCCTCCCACAAGGAAGCCAGGCTGGCCCCCTTCTTTGTTGTCTCTCCACAAGCAGGCAAAGACCTTTCCTTTCAAGCAGGCTTTTCTTCAGTAACTGGCTGCCTCAGAGGGTGTGTGTGTGTGAGAGAGAGAGTTTTAAAATTGTACCCAGTGATTTTTATGTATTAGTCTTAAGAGGATACCTGTTTAACTGCTTTCTAATATTGTCATAATTTATTGTATGGTTTAGCTTTGAATATTTCCTGTTCAGTAATGTAAGTCGCCTTGGGCCCTCCTGGAGAGAAAGGTGGGTTACAAATAATAAAAATGAAATGAATGAATGAAAAGGGAAGGAAAGGTTTTCCTTTGCAATGGGCAGGCATACAATCTTCTCCAAGGAACAGAATGTTCTGTGTAGCTCTGGAAACTAACTGACTGTGCTGTCGGTGATCTATTTAAAATCGTACCAGCTGAAAAGGTATTATGAGGCTGCAGTTGCCACTGCGAGGATAGGGTGTGCTTATCTGCAGATTACATCTCTTCTGTCCTGCACTTGGCAAATCTAAGTCAGCTGTGATGCTGTTCTCCTTGTATGCATGCACACACGGTCTAAACGAAAATGCCACTTCCAGCCTGGGTCTTCAGCAAACAGATGCACCTTACACAACAAGACAGCATAGGCCGGACTGGCAGCGCTGTGCCTTTTGCTCTCCATTTCTCTCTCTCTCTCTCTCTCTCTATGGCAAGAGTGTGAGCCAATGTGGCCTAATGCAAAGAGACAAAGTCATTTGGTTCTTGTACACAACTCAAGGCGAGGGAAGATGATGCCTCTAGAACAGCGGTCCCCAAGTTTTTTGGGGCTGTGGACCAGTTGGGAGGATTAAGCTCCATGCGGGGCACCGACACGCCCACCTCGAGCATGACACAGCCCACCGTGTGACACGCTCACCGTGTGGTGAAGATCCATATCCGCGGCCCAGTTCTGGCAAGCCCATGGACCGTTACGGGGCCACAGACCAGGGGTTGACTAACCCTGCTTTAGAAGACATTTTGTTCTTCCTCCCATTTTACTGTTTGGGAAGCTGAGTCCAACAACAGCTTTTGAGGCAACCCGTGCTGACGTCTTGCCAATATTTTATTCCAATACTTCGGTGCATGTCAATTTCATAAGAGCTTTTAAAAAGAACCACCTGGAAATTGACCATGGGAGTGAAATTGACATCTTCCCTGCATAAGCTCAGGGCATTGGTTTGAGATCCAAAAATGAATGCGGATCTTTTCGAGAAGCTAGTCTTCATGACTTGCCCAAGATCTCTGAAGTCCAACAACTTATAAACACACCTCAAGCACCACTTTCTCTTTTCGCCTCAATGATCTTTCAGTGTCAGAGACCACAGTAAAACTTGGAAAACTAACTTCTGGGAACTATTTCCCAACTTCTGGACAAGGAATAGGTCTTTTTCAATGAGGCACTCAAGACTGTTCCATAACCTCCTTAGAAATATTCATTTGGCACTTACCTTTTTATCTTTCACATGCCAAGCCAAAATTGTGCCAAGCCAACATTCCTCAGCGTTTGCAGTTGCTGCTTTTGTTGTTTTAAAGGTTATTTAGGTACTTTTGCCATTTTTAGAAAGTTGATTGTAGTTGGATAAGCTGTGCCTTTTAATGTCATCATGAATGGTTTTGTAGAGCAAGGCTATGCATATTTTCTCGGGAATAAACTCCACTGTGCCTAACATTAATAGATTTACTTAGAATTTCATAAAATGAGATGTATGGTAGTTGCGTAAGTTCTCCTTGAAGGCACGGTAACAGCAAAATTGGGTATAAATACATTTTAATTAACACCTTTTAAAAGGGGGATATCAATGTGTGCCATCAAGCCAATTCTCACTCATGGCAACCTTTTCAGGCTTTTCTAGATACAAAGTACTCGGATTTGGTTTACCATTCCCTTCTTATGGGTTCTAGATACAGAGTACTTGGATTTGGTTTACCATTCCCTTCTTATGGGAGCATCCTGGGATTGTACAGCTCACCCAACGCTACACAGGCTGGCTTTTCTCCCAGGAGGCACAGCGGAGAATTGAACTCCGAACCTCTGGTGTCATGGCCAGAGACCTAACTCACTGACCTATCCAGCCAGTTTTATGGGAGAAGTAGAGTATCTAATGCAGAGTACTTGGATTTGGTTTACCATTCCCTTCTTATGGGAGCATCCTGGGATTGTACAGCTCACCCAACGCTACACAGGCTGGCTTTTCTCCCAGGAGGCACAGCGGAGAATTGAACTCCGAACCTCTGGTGTCATGGCCAGAGACCTAACTCACTGACCTATCCAGCCAGTTTTATGGGAGAAGTAGAGTATCTAATGTTCAAACGTTTAGGCTTATCCAGACTATATATTTACACTAAGTCCCAAGTTCCATGTAAATGCAGATGGTCACACAGAGTTTAATGGATGCGCCCGTGTTCAAGAGACAAATTTAAGAAGCTAACACTTCTGGCTCAATGAGCGCATCATAGCCCCACATTCATCATCATTCAAAAGAGATGGTTTGCATCTGATGAAAGCTGCTGCCAATATCATCTATATGAAACTCCATTTCCTGCATGGCTTGTTTTATTTATTTTTCCAATACGGATTAAGTTCTCAAGTCAAGACCCCACTGTATATTTACACTAAGACCCAAGTTCCATGTAAATGCAAATGGTCACACAGAGTTTAATGGATGCACCCGTGTTCAAGAGACAAATTTACGAAGCTAACACTTCTGGCCCAATGAGCGCATCATAGCCCCGCATTAATCATCATTCAAAAGAGATGGTTTGCATCTGATGAAAGCTGCTGCCAATATCATCTATATGAAACTCCATTTCCTGCATGGCTTGTTTTATTTATTTTTTAAAAAAAACAAGCACAAAGGATTTTGTTACATCTCCAAGACTTAACGTGACCATGGACAAAATGTCTTGTATTTTAAAGACATTTCCTACCTAAACATTAATTCACTCTTTAACATTTCGGACGAGATCTTTACCAAAGCTATGAAAATGCGACAAAAGCGTTAAACGTGAAAACCCCCCAAAATGATTTCCTAACATTTACATGAGTCTATTGGTTTGTTTGTTTAAAATATTTTCCTCCCGCCTTTCTTCTTCAAAAGAGCCCACGGTCTTACCTCCCCGACAATCCTAGCTTGTATTCATGGACTGTCTGGTTATACCTCTATCCTAGCACTTATAGTTTAGATAAAATGGAGGGTGGCAGAGAGAGAGAGAAAGAGAGAGATTTTTCTTTTTCTTTTTTTCCTGTGGGGGAGGATTCCCAATTTATGTGCAGGGTTGAGACAAAAGACAGATTAGCTGGATGAGATCATTCCACCAGGCGGCTTACACAGAGCTGGGCAAGAATCCGAAAAGCCAGACACTCCAACCCCTCTCGAAGGAAAGGAGATTTGGGGGACCAGATTTCCTCTCCTTTGCAGTCCTAACGTCTGACTTCAGCCTGCATCAGTGACCTCATCGTTAGGAGAAAGTAAATCCGGGCCTCACCTGTACATTGCCTTATAAACTCCTCATAATCAACTCCGTGATGTCCCGGAACGATCGTGGGCCCGTCGTACTTAAATGTCACCCTTGGAAAAGGTGGGAGACAAAAAGGAAGGGCATCAGGAAAAAAAAATAAGGTGCCAGCCCTATGTTTCTGCATGGAGTGTGTTTGTATGTGTAATCTTTGGATTTTAACTTTATATAAACTTCTGCTCTTCCCCCTCCCCCCCCGGGACTTAACAGAAGCCAAGGGATTACAGGGTCAGCCCACTGAAGTGGTTGCCTCCTGTGTCATAAAAGGTCAGCAAAACATTCCTTACTTAATTCATGGTGAAGATATTTTGCTGCCGTCTGGGGAACTCCCTGCCTCATGAGTCAAAGCAAAGATTGCCTTGACTTTGTGTTCTAGAAACCTTTGCGGAGGAGGGGTGATAGAGGCCAACATTTGCTGCTGTACCTCAGGCAGCAAAAAATCTTGGGCTCACCCAGTGCGATCCCCAACCTCCATTTGTCTCCAGTAAGTTAAAAAAAAAACTACACACCCACACCCTCCTAACAGCTATCTGAAAAGACCTGGTCATTACTGCAGGTTTTCCAAGCAATTCTATCTGCTGGTCAAGACAAGGGGCCCTCGACACCCCCTAAGGCCCCCCCCCCCCCCCCCCCCCAAAAAAAAAGGCTGATCCTAGGGGTGTGGCAAAGCTGGACCTGAAGGCTTGGGAGGGAGCGCTGGTTCCCAAGCGACCCTTTTCTTTTCCAAAGAATAATAGAATTTTTTTTTAATTGTCTTTTAAGCCCTCCAACGCGGCACCTTACCAGTTCACCTCGCTGCTGTCGTCTCTCACCAGGTTATAAGCCTCTCGGCACGCTTCTTTGTCGATTTTCGTGGCCATCTCGGGGGCGGTCGGTCTCTCCAAGGCTCCAAAGGCAGAGAGAGAACGAGAGGGAGCGATCCGGGGGTGGCTGGCTGGCGGGCTGCGCAAAAAGGAAGGTGAGATCCGGAGCAATGACGACAGAGGGAAAGGAGAGCCGACAGGGCGGGCAGGCGGGCAGGGGAGGGATGCGTTTAAAGTAAAATAAAACCGACGGTCCTTTTTTTTTCTTTTTGCTGGGGGAATCTTGTTACCAAAAAGACCCCCCTTTCCCTGGAGTGATGCCTTTCCTCCGCCCGAGGACCGGCTTTGCTCGGGGAGGAGATGATGCCCCGAAGAT